CCTTATAACGGGTATAACGGTAATCGAGGGGAACTATTTCGCATGTTCCGCCATTTACTGAAGTAATTCGCCTTGATAGTCGGCTTTCTGTATTCTCTCACCGCTACCACTAATTCACCTATACGCATCCAACCTTTGTTCAATCCTCTTTTCTCTCTTTTTCCTTCCACATAAAAGCGGCTGCTGATCGGAGCACAGTGGCGGAGGCGCAGGCCATCGCCCTTCGCTTCGCCCTGCCACCGCGCTGACGTTAAAACCGCGCCGCATACGAGCCCGGGTGAGTTTTTCCCTCCTCGTGGGAGCGTACCCATACCAAACAACTAGTGAGCTGTCCGCCAAGCTAGGTGTTAGCCAATCGACGCTGATCCGTGGACCGCAGTCAATAGGAAAGGTTTAAAAATTTGGCCGATAAATACCACATGCATTATCACAGAGGAGATGGATCGGAGGGTCGACATGACACTTTTTCTTCTACCCGTAAACGCACGCACTCGTGGCTGGACAACTTTATCACCAGAGATGAAAAGTGGGTACTATACTCCAACATGCGCCGCCGTGCTCTGTGGGTAGTCAAAGGAGGACAAGCAGAAGACGTCCCGAAACCAAAGCAAGGATGCTATGCATCTGGTGGAGTGTTCGTGGGGAAAAACAGCGGGAAGTACAGTAAGAAGGTTCAACAGTGATTGGCGCCAATCTACGTTCGCTCAACTACGAAAAGAACTTGAAGGTCCCTCATGAGCACAAGAGGAGCGCGAAGCCAAAGAGTGACTTTCCAAGCCATGACAAAGCCGAGACCAGAAATCACATTGCAACGTGCGCGAAGAAGTGTACTAGCAGGCGACTTTGGCTGTGGCTGGACATCCGTCCCGCACTTAGTTATCTCTCCAGCAGTGGCACCACCAAGACTCGTGTGTGAAGCGATATATTACAAATGCGACGCCCCCCTAATTCCATACTAAAAATACGATCCCCCTTTAAGGAGTTGGTACGTACGCCCCCCCCGACTCCCAGCCCGTGCACTGTCCTCCTCATCGTACTTCATCGAACCGAAATGCCATCGAGGCGGGGGGGGGGGAGTGTTGGGGTCGTCCAAAAGAATTAAAACTACCATTCTTCAAGTGTCGACCAATATTAGTCGCGTCCATGGACTGACCAAATACGACCCCCTCCCTCGCGGTCAAATACGCGACCCCCTCCCTTGTGATGTCACAACGATGGCGTGCCCTGCTCTCCAGACCTTGCACCCTATGACTACCACCTATACTCGAACCTGCAACGCCATTTGGATGAACCCACGATGACGTTCCAAAAGACACTAGATGGATTCTTCAAACTCCATCCAACCATGTACTGGAGGAAGGGCATCTGCGACCAACCCACTTGTTGCCAAAAGCTAATATTGGAGCATATTTCAAATGACTAGGCTGTAGTTGTTTTATTTTTGTGCAGTAATAAACTTCGGGCTTAAATGCTTGACTAACTTTCATTTCAATAAATCGGAGCTAGTGATCCTACCTAGAGTGCAAAATGCTCCCCACTTCCCCCCCCCCTCCGAATTCCCTACTTCATTAAGGCTCAGATTCTCCCCTCATGAATTGAACATCTCCGAGGTCTAATCCCGAGCATTCGCCGAGCATCATTAGCCGCGAGTTTTTGCATAGCTCGTGCCTGCACGGCCTTAATCGATAGCGCTAGCGATGTCACTGCCTCATCAAAACCTTCGCACCAAATTGCAACCATTCACACAATCTTTGGAGCACCAGCTTTTCTGCTATCAGCTGCTGCGCCACTACAGCTCTTTCTTGGTGTTGTGCACATTATGATCACCTCAAACATTTCCAGTACTTCTAGCTACTTGTCCAATTCAAAGTCCATTCTAAGAACAATTATGTAGAATAAGTTCTTTAATAAACACATGAAATACACAAATTAAGAGATCTATACATGTACTGCATACAAACGGGACAATACTTCACTCCAAGCAGGTCATTGTGATAGGAGCCTGTGGACTATAGCGGAATTCTACTCAAATATTAACAACATGAAAACTACGAAAAAACAGGAACGATAAATAAGTAACAGACATTACTTTTAGTCATCATTAGGGGGAGTGGGGCTATGAGACCTGGATCGCATATCCGCATCACCGTTAGCTGCAGGGGACGCGGATCCATCACGAGAACTGTAACAATCAAAATATATACGTCGTTCAATACAGAGATATGGAAATATCGGCGCAGTTCGGCGACGTGGGGGGGGGGGATTTCACCTTCGCTGCTTTCCTTCGACGTGCTTAACCATCTAGAGAGCTGTTTCATGAGCTTACGAGAACGATTTTGCCATGGTGGCTAAACAAACCTACTCCAGCTTCACAAGAATCCACAGGTTGTACTCGTACACCAGAACTAGTGAAGCAGCGAGAGAGCAAAATGTTCCCTCCCCTCACAGAACTGCGGCGAGATATCCAAAAACTTACTGGCTTCTTGACCTCGACTTCGATTTCGACTTG